TGAAATTGAAAAATGCACAATTTACCAACATATGAAAAAAAATAATAAAGCAAAACCTGAGCTCACTTGATCTGAGTAACAGATTTGGTATGCATACACATATATTTATATGCTTTTGGTGCGGCCGATTGTAACCAAAAAGGAAGGCGCCCAACTACGTATTGTGGCAGTCCTATTTACAAAATTTCAGCGTTCTGAGGCTACTCGTTGTTGAGTTATGCGAGATACATACATACATACGTACGTACGTACGTACAGACGCCACGAAAAAAATCTCTTTTGAATCCATTTTAAATCAGTTTTATAATTCGTTTGGAGAAAAACAGTCCTTTATTCTGTCCTTACGGTACAGCTGTCACTCAAAAATATCTTTAAATTGCATTCGATAGCGGTCAAAATGGATATTTTCGTTGACATATGGTACTCGGAAATTTTCGTTATTACAATACTTCCTTTACTTCGTACAAGGAAGTAAAAATTAATATTTGAGAATCAGAATTTTTTAATAAATCTATAAATTTCTCTTAGAAAAACTACATTGATTATTTTTTATTGGGAATATCAATAATCAAACGTAACACAAAGTTACCTCACAAAAGTCTTCGTATACTTTAAAGAAATCCATACATATTGGTAAATATTGTAGTATTTCTGTCAGATATTATTTTGTTAAGATATCCTGCAGCATCCATGACAGAAATTCAGTTGATCAAACAGAAACAGAAAAAGATGTTTTTAGATGATCATCTAAACAGATGAACATCTGGGTTCACATTTTTTTTTTTTCGTAATATCTGCACCAGTATTTCTCCATTCTTCCCTCATTTTACTGTATAAGGTATTTTCTCCCTCCTTTCTGCCTGCCTTCGTGATGTAACGGTATAGCACACCAGGCGCGTATTCGAAAGGTCCAGGTTCGAGTTCCGGAGAGGGCATTGCATATTTTTCATATTTCTTGCATTAAAAAAAAAAAGCTTTAGATTTTAAATTACGTCCAAAGAGGCGTTTTTTGTTTTAACCATTTATGTGTTACCTTTATTTATTAAATATCATGTTCTTCGCACTTAAACCATAAAATTTAGTTCAACAGCAATATCGCAAAATTTTTAAATTGAGCATATCTTTAGAATTTCCGATACACAGTCTCGCACGCTGGAGATAAAAAATGTTTTTTTCTGTACAACGTTGCCATTGCTCGCTTTGAAATCGTTGAGTTTGTTAATCAAAAATTCGTTAAAGTTTTACAAAATAGGAAATCGATAATAACACAAATTCCAAATTTCAAATTTGGGCTTCTACATGCCCATATTCGCAGTAGGATTACATCATTCAAAATTGGATGGCTCTAGGTACCGTTGTTTTATCACAATGCGAGAAACATACATACATTTATGCAGATTCTTCATTATTTACTTTCTCAAATTTAATACAGGGAGATAATATTTGTTGGCAACAGTTTGAAAAGCGAAACGGACATTCAGACTGTTTCTATGCAAAACCGCAAAACGAAAACAATAGTCCCTCAGCGACAAAGCCCCTTTGGGCTAAAAAAATCCTAATGTCTCTACTACAATCCTAATATCTCTACTACTGTCAACTTATCTACTACAATGTTTTAGTTCGGTTTTCGTTTTTACGTTGTGTCTTCGTACTCTAACTTCTAATTCTCTCGAAATGTGTTGTATCGGGTTTAAATCCGGTGGGAGGTGGTGTTTTCATAACTTGTGGACAGTTATGGACACAACAAAGGCGAACGTTGAGGACCGTGTGCTTAGAATCGTTATCCTGATAAAAAAAATAAAGTTGTTTGCAATACCCAAATTTTGGGCGAAAAATTTAAAATTATCTTTTAAAATATTTGAATAAAGAGCATGGTTCATTATGCCATCAATAAATACTAACTTACCTAATATAGATGCTGACATGCGTCCCCCCCAACACAAGAACACCTCCACCGCCATACCGTACTGTTCCAACCAAGTTCTTGTGATTAAGATCCTTATTTTTTCTTCTCCACACAATTATATCCTCATCGGAACCAAATTTATTAAATTTGCTCTCTTTTGCAAATAAGACAACGTTCGGGTTTACGTTCGGGTTATATACGCTTCGGGTTTATTTACCATTGATTTTCGAAGAAAAGATTAAGCTTTCTATTTTTTGCTCTTACAAAAATTTTCTTCGAACCGAACATCCATATAATCCAGCTCATCTGATTCAGCATTTTCAGGTAAAATTGAAGTAAAAAAATTTTCAGTAAATTTTGTAGAAATATTTAGAACACTCAAATGTGAATTATTCACAAGTTTTCTAACTATAAATTTCTGATCACATTGAGTTAACTTTGCGAACTCTTTTTACTTTATTTTCGATCCGGCTTTCTTCTTTAAAGCGTTTTATGACATACTGCACTGTGGTATTGGATAAATTTACCAATTTAGCTATATCCCAGATCGATTTTCCACCCTTATGATGAAAAATGATACATTTTTGAGCGCTATTCATTGTTTCCTTATGATTACGACCCATTTTTAAATATTAAATAAAATATAACAAGCAAATAATTAAGCCAAACGATTACTTAAATGTCACCAAAATGCAAAAATAAAAAAAGGAGTAGACGATAACTTTATTTATGAAATATTACAAAAATGTTTCGATGTACCGTCACTTTTGTGCTGTGTTTTATCTGTGCCTCCTTACATTTTCACTTTTAGAAATTGAAAATAAGTCAATATTAAAAAAAAAAAAAAAAAAAAAAAAAAAAAAATGTTTGGTGTTATTTGAAATCGCATGGAAATGATATGAAAAGATATTTGTATTCGAAAAAGCCTTTATATTCGAATTCAGTTCCGGGTTATAGTGCTTTTTCTACAAATTCAAGAAGCGTACGTACACCTTTGGGAGTCACTGAAGAATTTCATATAACCAATATTTTAACCAAATATTTTATTAGAAATCTTTCGGAACAATAAATATATATAAATATAACTTCATCTAAATTGTACAAATTCAAGAAGCGTACGTACACCTTTGGGAGTCACTGAAGAATTTCATATAACCAATATTTTAATCAAATATTTTATTAGAAATCTTTTGGAACAATAAATATATATAAATATAACTTCATCTAAATTGTGCAAGAAATAAAAAATATGTTACGCTAAATTTTATATTTAGTATAATATAATAATTCGAAATATATAATAGTACCAAAACTTATTAAAAGAGAGGGATGAGCTAAGTGATCGATGCTGTTGAAAACATATTTTATTAATTATATGCATTTTAACTTATATTGATTAGATATATTATTTAAAAAGTTAAACTAGTATTAAGAAACAGCTTTACTGTTTTTAAATTGCTAAGGTTGTCAAGTAATATAGCAAACTGATTAAATTCGAAAGATAAACAACTTATTGTTTGTTGAATGGCTGTACTCTGAGAACATATTTTGCAGGATGCATGTTGAAGATAAATTAAACATGTTTGGGGTCAATGGCAACTAAGGACATTTGTGACGTCAAAACACTAGCAGAGAAGAAGATTAACCAGAGTTCCGCATTATCCAAAGCATATAAATATAATACACTATTTGTCTTGTAAAAATTGTAGAAATCTTGCAGTATGAATATCAATACAACTTCACCGAGAACTAAGGAAATATCCGGACGGTTTCTGATATCTATCCCGCCCTTTAGATGCATTACATCAGTGATCGGCAAATTGTGGCTCTTTTTGGCTCCTTGAGGGTGGCTCTTCCACAATATAGCACATGCGGGCGCATGCGCGATGTAAAAGCAAGAAAATCATTGAAAATACTAAACAAAGGCCGTCAAATATTTCAGAAACATGAAAACAACAAAACATATCCGCCAATGTTATTCCTATGAAAATTTTTTGCACTGATTTCGGCGTTTTGATTGCATTGATTATACTACATCAAATTGTGCTGTCGTAGTAATTTTCATATGCCAAATTTTAACTAGTGAAATGCTTTGAATTAATATACCATTCATTGGCAACTTGAATGAGAAACCAAATCAGGGCTTAATTTTAAAAAGTAGAAGTGCCGGAGCCCTATAAAAAACCATCGCAAATGAGGAACAAGAGTAAATTAATAAACAAAATGACTATTAAAAAATCATTAATAATTTAAAAGTTAAATAGTTAATGAGTATCAAATTAATTAACAATTATTTAATTGATATTAATAATTAATATTTATTTATTATTGTTTAACTTATTAATTATTATTTAATTAACTCACGATTAATTTTTTTATTAATTATTAAAATAATTGAAATTAAATAAAATGTAAAGAGATAAATTAAAATTTTATACGCGATTTTTTATATAATTTTATTGCTAAAAATAAAATTTTTTATAACAAATTTCTACTACAATAATTGTTCCGTTACATGAAAAAGTGTCGGAGCCTTCTTGTTTAATGCTCCGGTGCGCTCCGACTAGAATTAGAATATGTTGCCAAAACTAAGAAGTACCGCAGCCGGGCTCCGCCGCAATTTAAGCTCTGAACCAAATAACGTAAAAATGAAGTTTAGTTTCAAAATATCAGTATTTTAGCCTTTTCGTCTTTTCAAATTTGAAGTTTTTTCCAGTATCTGAAACAAAAATTTTCCTAGCGATTGAAATTAGGCAGCATGTAATACATAGACGATGTTTTGGGTTGCATACAAAACTTCAACTTGGAAATGTTTCAAGTTTAAAAACCCAGATATTTTGACACGAAATTTCATTTTAACGTTATTTGGTGTATCAAGTTAAAACTACCATTGTACTTGAAGAATAAAATGACGTCTTCTATATACATGACAAACATTTATTTGAACTACGAAGACGTTGAACAGCAGAGTAGACATGATATTACACAGCGCTTTGCACTTCTCTCTTACATGCAATACTCACCATTGACTTTGGCTAACTCCATACTAAGTATAAGTATTACGCAGCAGAGAACTTGCTTATCATGTGCATGCGCTAGGGGAATCGACGGCGGTTGCCAACATACCCCCTTTCGACGTTGATTCTCCTATTCCTGAAAAGTAAAACAAAATACATATTAAACAGTATTCAATCCTACAATTGTACAACAGTTTTGATGTTTAACAGGAGTCAGGGGTTTGGTTAACACATCAGCTCCCATTTCACTGGTAGGTATGTACTTCACATCTAATTCACCGCGTTCATACACTTCACGCACAAAATGATGGCGAATGTCTATGTGCTTTGTACGGGAGTGAAACACAGAGTTCTTTGTAATTTTCTGAGCTCCTTGATTGTTGCAGTATATTGTTGTTGGGTGTTCTATGTTGTAACCCAGCTCCTTCAGGAAACGACGTAGGTAGACAGTTTCTTTGGCGGCCTCAGACAGAGCCATATATTCCGCCTCCGTTGAAGATAGAGCTACAGTGCGTTGTTTTCGTGATTCCCAGGTTATAGCTGAACCACTTAATATATATACAAAACCGGTGTAAGATTTTCTATCATCGACATTTGATGCCCAGTCTGCATCCACAAAGGCGATGAGTGGTTTTCCTGTTTTCGTATAAATTAGTCCTTGATCTTGGGTTTCCCTTTAGATATCGAAGTATTCTTTTCGCAGCATGCCAATGTTCTTTTCCCGGATTGTTGTTAAATTGACTTAAGAAATTCACGGCGTATGTGATATCTGGCCTAGTAGCTACTGAAAGGTACATTAATGATCCGATCAGATTTCTAAATGGAACATTTTTCATGTCAGCGATTTCATTTTCGCTTTTAGGACTCATTTCTTTTGATAATTTTTTGCTGTTATCTATAGGTGAAGACACAGATTTAGCATTTTGCATGTTATACCGATTTAAAATATCATCAATGTATTTCTTTTGAGAAATTTTAATTGAATTCTCATTTTGGTAAAATTCTATGCCTAAGCAATAATGTAACTTCCCCAAGTCTTTCATTTTGAAAGCAGAAGCTAAACTATTGCGAATTGTTTCATACGTTTGCTTAGAATCGGTAAAAACGATAAGATCGTCTACATAAACGATTATAATAGTTTCACTGTTAGGCGTCTTTTTAATATAAACACAATTATCTGAATTAAGAGATTTAAATTTCATAGATTTAAATTTTTCATCCAACTTTTGTACCACTGACGTCCTGACTGTTTAAGACCGTATAATGATCTCTTTAAAAGACAAACTTTATCTGAATTAGTTTCATCCCGAAAACCTTCGGGAATTTCCATGTAGATTTCTTCATCTAAATTTCCATTTACATAGGCCATTACAAAATCTAATTGGTAACCTTTGAGATTGTGTTCTACTGCGTAGGCTAAAACTGTTCTTATGGAACTTAATCTAGCAACAGGGGAAAAGTTTTCAGTGAAATCGAGACCAGGGATTTGAGCGCACCCTTTAGCAACTAGCCTAGCTTTGTATTTTTCGATAGTGCCGTCGTGATTATATTTTAATTTAAGAACCCATTTACTGCCAATAACTTTCTTGGTTCAGGTCTTTTTACTAATTCCCAAGCCTTTTCCTGAACAAGCGAGTTATATTCTAAAAGCATGGCATTATGCCAATTTTCAGCATATGGTCCATTTAATGCTTCTTGCACCGTAGGATTAATGCTTTCCTCAACAGCATTTTGAGTTTGTTCATTTTTATTTACAACTGTATAGTGATATTCCTTTTTAGGCCTTCCTGGCAAACCTGTTTTTATTTTCTTGGGTCGACCAGGCCTCCTTTTAATCAGGATAGGAAGCATTGATTCACTATCTAAATCATTACCGCTTTCCTTTTCAGATTCAGAGCCAAGTGGCGACTCGCTACCGTCCAGAGGTGATGATTTTTCACAACATGTTTTTATTTATAATTTTTTCCTCCGGAGCGAAAGGCAGATTTATTTCTTGCTCTGAGTCATAACTACAGCAGTTTTCAAATTCATTAATAAATTTTACATCTCTGCTTATTATCACTTTACATGCCTCGAAATCCCAAAGTGTATACGCTTTTGATTCATCAGAATAGCCAATAAAAATACATTCTTTAGATCGAATATCAAATTTGCCTATTCCTGGCCTTTTATTTAGCGAAAATGCTTTTTGGCCAAAGGTTCTGAAGTGAGAGACAGCAGGTACTCTGCCAAACATCACTTCGTAAGGTGTTTTTATTTCGTTTTTGAAACCTCGCGTTGGGCAGCGATTTCGAATGTAAGCAGCCGTATTAACGGCTTCGGCCCAGAATTTCTGAGGCAGATTGGATTGCAATAACAAACATCGCGCCATTGAAACCAAAGTGCGATTTAATCTTTCGGCGACGCCATTCTGGGCTGGCGTGTAAGGAGTGCTCATTTCGTGTTTTATTCCCGCATCATTAAGAAATTTATTAAAGTCTTTCCCTAAATATTCTAGTCCGTTATCGGTTCGCAGGATTCTGATTTTAGAGTTAAGTTTATTTTCAAAAGATGCTTTAAAATTTCTGAAAGCTTCTTTAACCTCATCCTTAGATTTCAGAAAATAAACACGAACATATTGAGATTTATCATCAATAAATGTTGCGAAATAAAATGATCCACCGATTGATTCAGTTCTCATGGGACCACACAAATCAGAATGAATTAGATTCAACATTTCAGTACTTCTATATTCAGATTCTTTGGGAAGAGGGGTTGCGGTTTGTTTACCCTGAATGCATACCTTACAAGTAGAAAGAGAGTCATTTTGAGAAAAAGAAAGACCTCTAACCATGTCATTTATTTGAAGTTTTTTAAGATCGTTTTCATTTAAATGGCCAAATCTTATATGCCACTGATCTATTTCTTTAGCAATTGATACAGATTCAAATATTGGCATGACAAAATAAAGATCATTTTCGCGTTTACCTAAAATTACTATTTCGTTATTATAATTAATTATATTTGAGCACATTTTTCTTTGAAAATTACTGAAAGATTATTTTCAGTTACTTTAGACACTGAAATTATTTTTCAAATCAGGTACACACAATTCATTTTTGAGTTTGATATTTTCAGTTTTAGAACCTATGCGAACTTTAAATTTAACAGTTCCTTTTCCAATAACTTTAACTATTTTATCAGTAGCTAATTTAACATAAGTATCACCTACCTCGGGAATTTCCTGGAACGTTCCAGGAATTTGAGGTAACTTGAAACAGTTCCTTGCTGTTACACATATGCGATGTTGCACCACTATCCAGACAAAAAATGTCTTTAGAATTACTATTAGTGCATGCTACGGCTTTTTCTCGCTCCAAGGAATTCCGAATTTCTGTAGACATCGCAGTTTCACTGAGGCGTTTGCTTTTAGTTTCTTTATTTTTCTTCCTACATTCCGATGCTCTATGCCCATGATATGGCAGAAGTTGCATCTGTAGTTAACTGGATACTGTCTTCGGTTTGCAGACTTATCTGCTTTCGGTTTAGGAACCGGTCGTTGAGTATACTTCCGATCTTTCGAATAGAACGCGTGTTGTTCAGAAAACAACGAATCTTTATTTTTGAGAGCGTTAGCTTCTTCCAACAGTTTAATTTTCAGCATTTCTGGAGAAGGCAGTTCATCACGAGATTCGATTGCTATTCGAAAGCTTTCATAAGAGTCCGGTATGCTATATAAAAGCAATATTGTAAGCAAATCATCCGCAATGTTTATTTCCATTTCTTTAAGTTTGTCCACAAGCATGAAAAAATCATTTAGATGAACAGTCATTTGTTTAGAATCACTCATTTTTGTAAAAAGCAAGTTTTTTAGAATTGTGGCCTTTCTAGCTGGTCCCTTCGATTCGTAAATAGAATGCAATTTACGCCACAGTTCGTGAGATGCTACACAATTCTTTACTTGTGGAAGTTCACTGGGTAAGATGGATAGGATTATATCCGCTCGTGCTTTTTGGTCAGTAGTTTTCCATTTAGCAAATTCTTCATCACCAGGTTCTGGTTTCGGAATTTTCCCAGTTACACAGTCCCAATGATCATTTTTAATCAGTATTGCTTCCATTTGCAACTTCCACGTATCAAAGTTGTCCTTGTTTAGCTTTTCAATTGGCACTGTATTAGTCGTCGCCATTTTCATTTCAATCGACGCAGCTTGGCTTGCCGAAAGAATTTAACAATGGTAGTTGCACTGCACAGTTAAGCGCTATCTGGGCCCATAACCTACGAAGAATAAAATGACGTCTTCTATATACATGACAAACATTTATTTGAACTACGAAGACGTTGAACAGCAGAGTAGAAACATGATATTATACAGCGCTTTGCACTTCTCTCTTACATGCTATACTCACCATTGACTTAGACTAACTCCATACTAAGTATAAGTATTACGCAGCAGAGAACTTGCTTATCATGCGCATGCGCTAGGGGAATCGACGGCGGTTGCCAACAGTACTGAATCTAGTAAGATTTTTGATGATGTATTGATAAATGGGCCATTTTAGTGATTTCAATACAATGGCCCATTTATTAATCACGAGCTACTTCTTTACCATTGTATCATCCATCAAGAGGCACTTTGTGCGCAGACATTTCGAGAAAAAATGTGCAAAATTATGAAATTGGTAATTAAGATTATCAACTCCATTATAGGTAAAACTCAGGGCTCTCTTTCTTTAGCCCTGGGTAAAACTCTTAATCATCGCCATTTTAAAGAATTTTTAATTGAAATGGAAGATGAGTACGCAGATCTTCTGTAGCATAACAAAGTACGTTGGTTATGAAGAGGAAATGTTTCGAAACGCCTCGCGTCCTTATTAACCGAAATTAAAGAATTTCTCCTTGAAAAGGGTATTTATTATCCAGAACTAACGAACGATCAGTGAATCCAAAAATTTTATTTCATGGCAGACGTTACGTCTCATCTAAATCAGCTTAATCAAAATCTACAGGGAAAAGAAAATACAATTTTTTCGATGTTTGAAGAAGTTATATCATTTTTAATCAAATTATCTCTTTTTGCTGAAGATTTTGAAAGAGAAACTTTAACTCACTTTGCAAGCATCTTGAAACATCGCCAAGAAAATAATTCTGATATTG